TTTTTTCTCCCTTTTTAATTTCACTTGATAGTTTTTGGATAACTATAGACATGTTCTTTTGTCTAAAAAACTAAAAAAAAATAACTCAAGTTTTAACTTTATTCAAGTTCACGTTTTTTTAAGTTTCAATTTGCCCGTTCACTTCGTTGATTCGAGTTTGTAATTCGAGTTGAGATGTGATTTTATGTGAGAGTTTTTTACTGTAGCAAAAAAGTTAGATGTGATTGTTTGTGAGAGCTTTTTACTGTAGCAAAACTCAAATTCTAAACTCGAATTGGTGAAGTGAACGGGGCCTGATTTTACTCAACTTTATTCAAGTTTTAACTTCAACTCAAGTTATATCTCAAATTCAACTTAAAAACTACACTCAAGTTATACTCCAAAAGAACAACTCCTATTATGTTTTGCTTCAGTCGAATCTTTTATAATGCATATATAATATTATTACATATACTAAAGAAGAGTCCCAAATTCGATGTTCATTGTCTTTCCATTTTTGTCCCTTTGATCGCACATTGGCCAATTGACCCTTACATCCTTTTTCATTAACCATTTTTTTTTTCCTGCTGTTTTGGTAATTTGTTATAATCTATGTGACATAGATAATATTTTATTATGTCTTATGCTTTTATGTAATTACAGTAAATGTTTTTCTTTTAGCCAAAAACACTTATTGGATAGCCACAATTTAGTTATAGATATATATTTTAATTATATTCGTCACATATTGCTTTGCTGAGAAAATTTGATAACTGAGCTTCAGTTATTGTACAAAATTTTTATTTTATTCATATTTTTTCTTAATATATATTTTGTTTTTTTTTCATTTATTTGTTTAGTTGTTTTTATTCTCACAAGACTTATGACTTATATTTTTTATTCTTACAAGACTTATGATTTATATTTTTTCCTACTTATACAGTTTACGTACTCAAATTTTGTTACAAATTAATGTCAATTTGTTCGGTCATCTCTTAAGAAGAAAACAAGTATAGGGCATAGAGATATGAATTTATTTCTATATTTGCATATCAGTTTAATTAATGTATGTATTCAATCTTATTAATTTCTTTTTTACATGATTATATTTGATATTGTAAATTTCTCATTTTTATCTTTGTGAATATATGAGCGTTGTACATATTTTTATATTATACATATACTAAAGGAAAGGACGGGATTCACTGTTCATGCTACAGTGTAATGAATAGTATCTTTCCCATTTTACCCTTGCTTATTTTTTCTGTTGATTTTTTAGTGTGAACTTACTATATTACCCTCAACTTAATACTCTACTATATTGCCCTTTCATCTTCATTTGTTTTGGTATATTTTCTCGGTTGTTTCACTTTAGTTGACTTTTCTAATTCTGTCCGATTTGGTCTTTTGCCTTCTACAAGTTTCTACGTCTTTTTTTTTCTCTTTTCTTCTGGAGCAAAGTTTCACGCTTGCGCCGTTTCTTCTCAACCTATTTGGACAAAAATTCTTCTTTTTCCTACTGTTTCTTTTCTTTTGATCCTTTTGGGTGATTTGGGTTTTATTGTTTTCATCATTTCTGTACTAAGATGGTTTTTCAATTTTTTTCCTTAGATAGTTTTTTGTTTCTTCATTTTTTTTTGCCCGATCTGTTTGGACATAATTTTTTTTCCTTCCACCGTTTCTTCTCTTCTCATTTTTTTGGGTTCTCTTGATTTCCTCATTTGTGTACTAATATAGTTTGTTATTTTTTTTAGATCTATTTCGGCAAAATTTTTCTTTTTTTTCTTTTCTACCGTTTCTTTTCTTATCATCTTTTTGGGTTTTGTTGTTTTCGTCTTTTCTGCACTAAAATAGTTTTTAAATTTTTTTTCGTGATATAGTTTTTCATTTCTTCATTTTTTTCGATCTATTTGGACATAAATTTTTTTTTTGTTCTCTTTTGATCATTTTAGGTATTTTAGGTTTTCTTGATTTTGTCATTTGTGTACTATTATGGTTTGATATATATATATATATATATATATATAATCTATTTCGGCAAAATTTTTTCCTTCTACCGTTTCATTTTTTTGTATTGATGTTTTATGTTCTCTTGGGTTATGTTGTTATGTTCTGAAACAATAAATTTTTTATATTTACCTTATTTTTTTCCCATGTTTTTCATGCAGAGGTATTTGCAAATGTTTTTCTTCCCATGTTTTTTTTCGATCCATTTCAAAATTTTAGCAATATCTATTTTTCTTAATTTTTGTTTTGGTCTTTTGTCTTTTCTCATTGTGACCAGTTATCTTAATTAGTTGTTATTCCTTTTGATTTTTGTAGGACTCTTACTATCTAGTTGTGTTAATTTTGTGGTTTGACACGTGTTTTTTCTCATTAAGTAGCTTTGTGTAATGGAGATTTGATATGTTACTGTCCGTTGCTTGGTAATCTATTTCGGCAAAATTTTTTCCTTCTACCGTTTCATTTTTTTGTATTGATGTTTTATGTTCTCTTGGGTTATGTTGTTATGTTCTGAAACAATAAATTTTTTATATTTACCTTATTTTTTTCCCATGTTTTTCATGCAGAGGTATTTGCAAATGTTTTTCTTCCCATGTTTTTTTTCGATCCATTTCAAAATTTTAGCAATATCTATTTTTCTTAATTTTTGTTTTGGTCTTTTGTCTTTTCTCATTGTGACCAGTTATCTTAATTAGTTGTTATTCCTTTTGATTTTTGTAGGACTCTTACTATCTAGTTGTGTTAATTTTGTGGTTTGACACGTGTTTTTTCTCATTAAGTAGCTTTGTGTAATGGAGATTTGATATGTTACTGTCCGTTGCTTGGCTCCATTTTGCGGTGGTTTTGCCTCTTGCGGACAACTGCCGTTGAGTAATCATATTTTTAATATATCTGTTTTTGCAGGAATTTTTATCAGAGATTGAGCGAAAATGTGATGTCATTGTCCATATATAATATGCTGAATTTTGTTGCTATAATTTTTTACTTTCTTTTGCATATTCAGTTCATGTCTTTTCCTTCCTCGGTTTTGAATATAGCGTTGTTTAATCTGATTTTCTTCTATTCGGAATATTGGTTTTTCTACTACATGTATCCTATTCACTGTGTTTCCTCGATCGAGGTATTGAGTTTTATTTTCTTATATATATTTTGTAGTTGTTATAAAGTACTTATTATGATGTTTTCCTGATTTATGATCTAAATTTGGTAATTATTTGATTTTTTTTTATTTATTTCAATATGTATTGATGCCTATGCTATTATTCGTTTATTCTATCTTTTTGTTTTGTTGTTTAGTGTTTCGGTTACCTAAAATATTGTTATTTCCGTAGAAGTTAGGTTCATACTTTACTTTCTTTCTTGCTTTGGCAACAGATTTTTTCTTTTTTCAAAGTTTTTTTTTTGGTGATGATGTTGTTATTTTTCTTTTGTTGTTAACATGTGTTGGGTGATTGTTATTACAGACTTGGTTGTTATTGATGTTGTCCTTATTATTTTGGAATTATGCCAATATGTTTTAATCTGTTTTTCGTTTTAGTTTTATTGTTATTTCGTAAGTCAGGGTTTTTTGATTTCTTTGTGCCATTTTGTGGTGCTTATTTTTTAAAATTTTGTCTGGTTCTGATTTTTAAACACTTCGATTTTTATAAACTGTCATTGTATTCATACTGAGTTTAGTTTTTTACTTCATTTTTTCTTCTTAAATATGTTGTTTTTGTCGTTCCAGTGTATATTGTTCTAAACTATAATAATATTCCTCATTTATGACACAAACTCCTTAACGATATAGCAAGCAGCCATGTGCATTGTTAGGTCGTGTTTTAGTTACTTATGGTATATGTTGTTGACAATAAAAGATTATTACCTGAACTAAATATTTTATATACTATTTTCTTTTTTTTTAATTCTTTTTTGATTTCCTTATGTTTTCAACTCAATTGATAGTGTAATATGAAGGGGTTTTTTTTTTTTTTTTTTTTTTGGTTTATAGAGATTTAATCTATGTATGTGCATGGTCTAAAAATAAGGTAATATAAATATTTCTAAAATCTTTTTTTACACTATATAAATTAAATAATTTTGACCTATTTAACATTTATATTTATTAACATTTTTTTACCTTTATATCTTGCAGTTGAAAAAACAAGATGAGAGCGCAAGACAACAACAATATATTTTACTTTCTATATATATGAATGTAAATATATTTTAAATAATAATACTATATATATGTATGTAAATATGTTTATAAAAATTTCAAATCTTCCATGTAATATAACATTGTATTCCGCAGCAAAGCGCGGAATACAGGCTCGTTATCTTATATAGAATGAATTAATTTTGTAAGTATATGTTTCAATAAATTTGTTAGTTTAGTTATTTATTAAAAGACTGTCTCAAGTATTGATATACAGTTATTTAGGTATTTATTTATTGTCGATTTTGATATATTATTATTTACTGCTTATCTATTATTTACATAGGAACAATTTTTTTTTTAGAAAAAATTGGTTAAATAATGTCGTACCATAACTAACAGATGGACAAGAAAAAAACTTTAAAAAACCTTTACAATCAAAGTAACGTATACGTCGTATCATTTTATGCATGGACGAAAATTTTATAAGTACAATTGCTTTTACATGAGGAAATTTTGGTTAATTTTTTAATTCCTGTTTTCAACCCGTGACTAATATGAGCTCAAAGTTTTCTTTCTAACTCCCAGAACTTCTTTGTAGTGGCTCCATAAGGAATCTCAAAGTTACTATATTTTATTGTATTTGTGTATATATACATATGAATATATTTTAAACCACAATACTGTATATGTATACATATGTGAATACGTTTATAAAAATTTCAAATCTTTCATGTAATTCAACAATATGTTCCGTAACAACGCACAGAATACAAACTCGTTGTCTTTAAATATATATTCTCTTGATGTTTTTTTTTAAGCATATTATATTTGTGTATTGCAAAAGATGTCTATTGGAATTAACCTAACAATTAGTTACATGGGGTAAACGTCTCTCAACATGTTTAAAACAGAAAAAATAGTATTATATTAATCAGAAATCATCATAAAGTTAAAAGAATTATGATTCTATTTATTTCACCGATTTAAGTTTAGAATTCGAATTTTATTACAATAAAAAAAATTTAAATTAGTCACATTTACTTTATTATTATAATAAAAAATTCTAACATAAAATCACATCTTAATTCAAATTACAATTTTAAATTAACAAATTAAATGACCTTATATATTAAGGTAAAGAGAGCTTTTTATTTTTCAATAGTTTTTAAACAAAGGAAGAAATATTAACAAAAATACAAAATAAAAAGTCAAGTGGGAATAATCTAGCGGGAGATCACACGTGTCGGTATGAGAAAGGGAAATAAATGGATCATTGTCAAGAGGCAATGGTTATTATCCAATGAGAAAGGGAAATAAATGGATCATTATCAAGAGGCAATAATATCCACACGAAGAAAAAAGATGGCTGAGCCAGTAACAGTGCATGTCCATCAAAGGAGAAGGCTAAGCAGCAGCTGCATTTTGTGCTAGTCCACGGCGCCGGCCATGGAGGTTGGTGCTGGTACAAGATTCGGACTCTTCTAGAAGCTTCGGGCCACAAGGTCACGTGCCTCGACCTCAAGTGCTCTGGCATCGACCCAACTGATTTCAATTCTGTATTCACTTTCGCCCAGTACAATGAGCCTCTCACCAATTTCATGTCCTCTATACCGCCAGGTCAAAAGGTCATTATAATTTATATACATATACGTGTGTGTATATATATACATATAGTTGAAGATGTCACTTGATTGAGTTTTTCTTTTATGTTTTCGGACTATATATATAGTTTCCAATAATAATATTAGTTCTTGTAATCTCATAAATTAATATTTGTAGGTGATACTGGTGGGACACAGTGCAGGGGGTCTGACCATTACGGATGTGGTACACAAGTTTGCTGAGAAAATTCATCTGGCTGTCTATGTTGCAGCCGTCATGTTGAAGCATGGCTATAGCATCTCTAAGGATGAAGATGCCAAGGACGTAAGAATTAGGATTGGCTCTTTTTTTTCCCCCCCTCTTATCAAAGAGTAATTTGTTTTGGTAAGGAATATAGTATCGCAGCAAGAGCTTATTGTTTTGCCCACAAGGGAAATTATTATGAATATAAAGTTATTTTTGGTTGACCTTTTTAATAGCTTAAGTATTTGGAGAAATGGTGAGTTTTAATACTTTCGTGTGTTGGGTCTCATTGTTATCTTTTAAAGGGCATGATGGAAAGATTATAAGGGGATAAGAGTGGCTACAGATCACATGTTGGTAACGGGACTAGTTTTCATCTAAGAATGTCTTTTTAGGCCTTTGCTAGAGTGGTCTTCCCTAACACACTTTCACGTAACATATAAAGATAAGGAACATAACATGATATTTGTTCAACATAACACTAATATTGGAACGGCATACCGAGAAATTTAATTATCCCGTACAATTAGTACACCTACTAAAAATGTCAGTATTAGATTAAATGAATGCAATATTACGCTTTTTCACTTTTATATGTTGCGATAGAAAGTATGGTACTTATGAAAAGGTAAAAATCTTCAAAATCATCAGATTATATTTACGCATGCATTAAGCATATCTTAATAATTTTTTTTAGACGTGCTTAAATATAGCCCATGATGTGCTGCGTGCCCTGGCGGTCATGCTTGTCCTTGATGTCATGCCGATGCCCCTGGACCAAAAGAATAAGGCCGAGCATGATCAACAAATACATGGTGAGTTAAGATCCGTATATTATAGAACAATTATAGAACACCGTAGATCTATCGCATAAATATAGTTATGCCATAAATGAAATTGTGCCGTTCATATTTGTCCAACATTATACAATTGTATCATTGTGAACTTATTTTATTGGATTTTTTATTTCCAAGATTTCAACCAATATATATGGAACAGGGAGCGGATGATTACGAATATATATATGGGCTCGGACCTGACCAGCCTCCAACCGGCGTCTTGGTCAAGCCTGAACTTCGGCGCAAAGTTTTGTATAATATGATGTTCATCCCAACAGAATTGAGTTGAGATGTGATCAACTACAACTCTGATCTAATCCGAATTGGATTGAATAACGCTGCTCGAAAATTTTTTAGTCTTCTGATTATAAAATGATTACCAAAGTTTTTTCCTATTAGACGTGGGATTTTTAGCCAGAAGATTCCTTGGAACATTTATATACAAAGAAAATATTATTACCACCTTAGCTAGATTGAAAATACGACTTAAGATTTTGCTTGGCTCTAAATTTGAAGAGAGATTTTATAGAATAATCAACCAACACATGATATTCTTTGAAGAATTAGACTTATATGATAATCAATAGAAACTACATGGATAAAAAATTATTTAATTAACGTGGATTAATTGGTGTTTTAACTTAATTGAGGACTACGTATTGGCTTCGATGCTGCTGAGGCCAGCACCGGCGAGGGCCCTTCGGGATGTCTGGTTCGATGGTGGCGCGGCCGTGGAGACCGTGCCGCGAGTCTTTGTGAGGACATTGCACGACCAACTGATGGCGCAAGAGGAACAAGATTACATGATAGAGAAATGGCCACCCTCCCAAGTCTTTGCTACAAAGAGTGATCACTCGCCTTTTCTCTCCACCCCTGATGCACTCTTTCGTATTTTAATTGAAGTAGCAACTCCCTTCATATGCGATTAAGTAGATGGAATATATATATATATATATATATATATATTAAGTCTTCTATGATATTGCTTTTTATGAAAGCAGTGCTCTTGAGTTGAGTGTTATCTTTTTGGAACCAAATATTCTTGCCAATTCTTTTCATTTCAATGAATCCTTGTAGTTGGTTACCTTACATATGATGCATCTCCAATATCATTAGTACGTAGATGGATGAATATAGTGGGAATTTTCAGTGAAAAATGTCAAGTGCTGATCAAGACTCAAGAAGGATAATTAAACGCTAACTCGGAGCTACTATCTTTTTTCATAGTAGTTTTAAGATAATTTTGTCCTTTAATCGATACAAATATCACGGGGATGTTCGTTTGGAGTGCTAAACTCAAGAAAGCCCAATTTGAGTCTCATTTCAAGCCCAAGTTTGTGTTCATCAGGGACAAAAAGACTTAAGTGAAGGCTTGAGTTCAGCAGCATTTTTTGAGTTGATCCCCCCACCCCTTGATTCACGAAACTCAGTTAAAAAAATAATTAATGAATAGTATTTTTTTTAAAAAAAAAATTTTAAATGTTATAATTTTTTATTTTAATTTTGATTGAGATGTTTTTTTTTTTTTTTTTTTATATGTTCACAATGAAGAGACGAATAAAACCGTACTCATATATCCTATTAAAATTTTTCATAACTATTGAATTTTTATTAAAATATCATCCAAATTTAAATTTAAATTTTAACCCATCTAAATACTAGGTTTTTTTTTTTTTTTTTTTTATATGTTCACAATGAAGAGACGAATAAAACCGTACTCATATATCCTATTAAAATTTTTCATAACTATTGAATTTTTATTAAAATATCATCCAAATTTAAATTTAAATTTTAACCCATCTAAATACAAACTCAAATAGATTCTCAATTCAAACCATAACTCAAAATGTGCACATTTTAACACAAACTCAAATTAGAGTCTCAATTCAAATCATATTCAAATACATCTTAATTTAAATTAAGATCTGAACTCAAGTCACCCTACCTAAAAAAATGCAAATAAATAAGCCCTAATTTGATTATTTTCTGACATTTTCAAGTTAAAAAGAAAAAATAAACAACATTGGGGAAAAAAAAAAAAGGAAGAGTATGTCACCCTTAGTTTTTTTTTTTGGATCACTACAAATTATCTTTTTGCTCTAGAAATATTAGAATAATACCGGTGATTTTAAATTGTAACATTCGAGTATTTTGCGGTCTTTTTTTAGGACAAATTATCTTCTCTTTTCTTCCGTTTGACGCTCATTAATAAAATAACACATCAAAGAAAAAAAAAAATTCAAAGTACAAAAGAGGGAAAAAAAAAAAAAAAACGTTACATTCTATATATACTTATTTGGGTTTTTTTCAAATTTTTTTTTTATTTTGTGTACTTGAAGTACTTATTCGTGATTTTGTATGTAGGATTCATACGACCAAAACCAAAAGCACCTAGACGATAACGCCTCAACCCCTTGACAGTATGGCTGCGTATAACAAAATTATCTGCATGCGAAATTCCAAGGATATGATTCCATTTTGTTTCTTATATTAATCTCTGACATAATGTTCCAAAAGTAGTACTTAAGTTTTTCCGCTAATTCCCTTAAGAAAAAAATTTTGTCCACTAATTAAACATTATTATTACGACAAAATACTATCGGTTCTATCAAATGAGAGTACATACATATATACTCGGAATATACTCAAGCTACCATATTATTGTTATATCAGACCTTAACTCTTAGTCTATGTTTGAATATTCCTTTTGTTTAAATATTCCACACAAAATTAATCCTCATAGAGATTATAAATGGCTCAACGCAGACATTTCCTCTTTCCTAACTAAAATTAGGTATTGAGAAGTAGAAGCAGCTATAAGCAATGGAAAATTTCAACTTCTTTGGAGGAAGAGTTGGGACTTTTTGCATCCTTTTGGGGATGTTTCTTCTATTTCATTTTGCCAAAGCTAAGGAAAGTACGTATATATTTCTTCACTTTCATTTCAAGTCCCAAAAAAAAAAAAAAGTTACCGAAAAAGTATGCAAAGGCAAAAACGACTATAAATTGTGTATGGATCACGTTTTATTTAATTTTACTTTTTGGGTGTTCACAGATGAAACGGAGCCCACAAGAAATGTAAATCTTGGACCGATCCAGAAGTGGAGAAGTGCTTACTTTTGTTTGAAATATAAGGTAAGAGAAAACAGATGTATACCATTTTTTTTGTATTTTACGGTTGTTTATTTTCTTGAGTTCAAAAAACATCAAGCACTTAAATTTATAGAAACGGGTCGAGGATTCTGTAAATCTATATCCTCATTAAAAACGAGAATCGTTCTCCATAGATTGGTGCGGAATGTTTTCACATCGGCTTTTTTTTTTCTTTTTTTCTTTTTTTGTGAAACCTTTAGCACGTGACACAAAACGTGCAAAATGTTTCGTACATGTTGTTTTCTTGAGTTTTTTTTTTTTTTTTTTTTTTTTTTTTTTTTTTTTTTTACTTTTCTGAGCATTTTTGTTTACTTTTTGTTTTTGTTTTTGTTTTTTTTTTGGTGTTGGCACTATTCGAGTAAGTCTCTTATTTTTTCTGTTTGTCTTTGTTTCCTTTTTCAATTTTTTTTTCTAACAATTTTTATAACTATTATTTTAAAAAATATCACGGACGCTTGACTAGTTACAAACTAAAAATAACAAATAAATCGAGTATTAAAATTGGTTGGGACTTTTTGCATGGCGAGTGGTGCATTAGGCAAGAGAAGGACCGTGCGCAGGCAAGGGCGCGAGCCTCGGCATACTGACGCCCAAAGGCAACCTCCACGTTAACCAAACAGACTTGGATGATTACTGCAGCCCTGGAAGGTGCGCAGACTACATCAGGTTTACTGTGCTCAAGTGTATTTTTTTGGTTCACAAAAAGTTTGAGTTCCAAAACAACGCCACCATTCAACACGTCAACGAAACCATTGCCACGGGGTGCACTAATAAAAATAGAGGTAACTCACTCCTACTTATTTGATTTGTTACTAAAGACAAAAAGAGTTTTGTTAAGAAACGTCGCAATATACTACGAAATTCGTGTAGATCGTTCGCGTGTTTTGTATTTTAGTACCTTTTAAATTAGTAAATAAATAAATAAAACTGAGTTCTTATATTTTTCTAATGGTGTTTAAATGGTGATGGAAAACGCAGATCTGATTATCAAGTGGGGTGCTCCGAAAAGCAGTGGGATAAAGGTTAACCAGAAGAAGTATGTGTCACTTGTATCATCAATGTTGGTGTTTGTGGCCATCTTCAAGATGTGACAACTTCTCCACTTGTAATTTAATGTGATATTAGTATGATGACATTGGTCAAGCATACTGTATAAAATAAGGAAACGATATTATTAAGTTGGGTTGATTATCCAATGTAACTAAAGAAACCATCTCTTTTCTAAAGAGAATCCCCTCTTTTGCTTGTTTTTTATTATAATCGTTTCAAGTGTATTATGTGAGATGGATGAATAACAAAAGACAAATAGTTGCAGAGTATTGCACGGTTATGATGCTTATTAATTTACACTTATTTTCACTTTCTAGGCTAAATATGTGATTAAATTGAATGGTGACAACATAAAGATGAGCACCAAAATGATAATTCTTTGTTCATTAGACTTGCACGGTTATGATGTTCATTCATAGCGTAGTGGGAACACTGTATACAATAAAGCTCGGGAAATACAAAGATAAGATAAATGTTTTCATTGCGACACAGAGATCAATCAGATATGGCCGTCAATTTATCCCCAAACAATGTTTTCAAATCGCAGTTGGCACAAATTAAGGAAACAAAAAAATAATAATTTACGAGGCACAACAAATATCATACGCTTTCAAGCCAAAAATACAAAACAAAAACAAAACTGCTGTACTTATTTATTTTCAAAGTCATGGCGTCTGAAACAAAGTGCAAGAGTTGATAAGTTTTTTGGATAGACGGACTAAAACTAGTTCATAAGTTGTGCTTGGATCTTACTAAACAAAAGACTAATAAGAAATTCTTCAACGGATGAACCATAAACCACGATGAAGGGGAACAACTTGGATCACGTCCCCGCATTCCTACGACCGACCCGAGCAACGAAACCAGCTTTGATAGGAGCAACAGATCGTCCAGAACCACACTGTATCATCACAAACATCACATTATTTTAGTTAAAAGTAGTAAGTGCAGATGAAATCAACAAATCAATCCAACCCAACCAGTTTTGGAAAAATAAATAAATGCAAACAAACCAAAGAAATTCCAGCACCTTTATCAGGTTTAACTAGAAAAGGATTAATACCCAACGCAAAAGCAATGCATTTCTACAGAGCCCTAAGAATCCAAGTTTTACTCTTATCATGATTTAAGACAAATCTGACGATGTAGGCAATGTTAAAGTCATCATTGGCCTCCACAGTCCTCACTATAATGTTTCCATGTCTTAAGAAAATAGCTTAGGGTTCATTTGGTATAAGGGTTCAAACCATGGTGATTCTAGTTTTGATTTTAGAACCAGAACCATGATTTATGATTTTAGGTCCAAATCATGGTTCTAAAACCAGAACCAGAATCAGGGGTTTGAACCACCCAAAACCAAGGGGATGGTTTTAGAATCAGGGGCGATTCATGGTTTAAAACATCACATCAGAGTTCAAACTTTGAATCAGAACCATAACCAAACACTGATTCTTGGTGAGTCAAATCAGAACCACTTTTTACTTTTTATAACAAACACTGGTTCTGAACCAGAATCATGGTTCTAGGTTCAGAACCCTTACACCAAACAACAACTTATTTTCTGCACTTCTTATTTATACAAGAGTGCTTATTTATAACAGTAGTACTACGAACTGTATTAGTAAAAATTCAAGTATAGTCTGGTCTAAAGTAGGAAGGGCCCGCCCTTGGGATGGAGGATCTAAAACGGGAAGTGAAATTGTTACCTTCTCGCATCTAAGGAAGAACAGGCGATTCTCCTTCGATAGAATTGTGTCTGGACTTTTGCATCCAAGGCAAATGACATACTCGTCTGAAGAGGAAGCAGCCATACACAAAATTTTCAGAATGCTAGGGGGAAAAAAACATAAATAAAAATTATACACAAAAATATTTCCCTTTCTCCACAAAAAGATAGATCTCAAGATCTCCATTTTCCATCGACACGATGAGAAATAATCAGTCTGTCTTAAGCCATAAAATTCATCAAATCACTAGACAAGGTACTTACTGATATATCGCCGTAAGATTCCTTCAAAATTCTTGGGTGCAAATCTTCCCTTTACGACTAATCTTTGTTGTCCATCAAGTGATCCACTTGTTCCCAGCTCTGCCAGCAAGAAAGCCATGACATGATCTGGCTGCCGATGCATCCTAAAATTTTGATCAAGCTAAGAGTGAGTATGAGGACTGAATAAGCAAATTATTTTCACATAAAAGCATAACTAAACTTTAAAAAAAAATTAATAATAATAATTAAAAAAAAGGAAAAAAGAAAAGGATACAACAGGAACATACGTCTTGCAGAGATCCATAAAATTCACAAAAACAGTTTTCTTGGTTCCCTCACGAAGAACCTGAGGAGGCCTTATAACGGTCCTACGCCTGTCCCCTGCTAACTCTGGATTATTCTCTCGTAGAATGTTAAACACCCTACCAAGAAGCTGCAGTCATTGCATAGGAGAAAGCTATTACTTTACAATAACTTTTAAACAATAATTTGGGAGTGATAATAAAGCAGACAATGTTTAATCTAGGTACTTTTCATCCAAACATTGAGAGGGCGTTTGGTATACAGCAATAAGTAGGAATCATGTTACCAGAGAAAGTGATTAAGGGTAATATGATTTTCAAGAAACATATATTATCATGTTTGGTTACGCATAGAAATTTAATATAGAATCCCTGAGAATATCATTTTACTGTGTTTGGTTAGGCACAATAATTTTTCTTATCTTCCTCTTCTCTCTCCACCACGAACTACTCACCATCAAACTGATAGAGTCCACACAAAAAGTAGCAAGATCATAGGAAAAGACACTGGAAGTTTGTATTAATGGAAGCACAATCGGAAATATAGGAAATACAGGAAAGTAAGATAGGTATTGAGCTTTCGAGAGGCTCAATTCTCTCCCAGAGGAATCACTTTACTCAACTCTCTAAATGCCTACCTTTCTCCACCGAATCCCCCCCATAAGTGAACCGAATAGGAGGCTTATCAGTACTCCCCTCCCAATGAGTCACCTTGTCCTCAAGGTGAAACGTGGGAAACTAGCCTTGGATCAACTCAAAAGGTTCCCACGTGGCCTCTGCAGGAGACAGGTTCTTCCACTGAATCAGCACCTCTAGTGGGTTTGCACCTGTTGCCGATGACGTGCGCAACCCCAGCACCTTCTCTGGTTCGATCAGCAGCTCATACTCTTCAGTTAGGTAGGGAGGCAGCTCAGAGATCACAGACGTGGCGCCCACCGCGCGACGGAGCTGGGATACGTGGATCACGGGATGGAGAGAAGAAGACTCGGGCAACTGGAGTCTATAGGCGACCGGTTCTACTCGCGCGAGGACTTTGAAAGGCCCAAAGAACCGGGGAGCGAGCTTCTCATTAGGACGTCGAGCTAAGGATTTGAGGCGATAGGGGCGAAGCTTCAAGTAGGCCAGGTCCTCCACTTCGAACTGCACATCCCGGCGATGCCTATCCGCTTGGTGCTTCATTTTCTGTTGTGCCCGCAGCAATTGCTGGTGTAATTCATCCAAGACAACGTCGCGGTCCCGCAGTTGCTGGTCCACCGCCGAGAAAGGAGTGGAACCAGCCTCAAAACGCAGCAAACGGGGAGGGTCCCGACCATAAATAGCATGGAAGGGCGTGGTTCATGTGGTCGTGTGAAACGAAGTATTGTACCAATACTCCACCCATGGCAGCCAACGCGCCCATGTCCTAGGCCGGGTGGATGCGAAGCAGCGCAGATACGTCTCCACGGAGCGGTTGACAACCTCGGTCTGCCCATCCGTTTGAGGGTGGTATGCCGTGCTATGCTTGAGCACCGTTCCCTGAAGACGGAAGAGTTCGGTCCAGAACTTGCTCATGAACACCTTGTCTCTGTCGGACACAATGGAAGAGGGAATGCCATGGAGGCGAACTACCTCTTTCACGAAGATTCCTGCCACCAATTGGGCCGTGAATGGGTGCCGGAGTCCCACAAAATGGGCATACTTGCTCAGCCGATCCACGACGACTAAGATAGCGTTGACCCCCTCGGAACGCAGAAGACCCTCGATGAAATCCATCGAAACATCCTCCCAAATGCGGTCCGGTATTGGCAAAGGCTGCAGCAAACCCTCGGGAGCCAGGGTGGTATTCTTGTTTTGTTGGCATACGGCGCATTGAGCAACATACTGCGGGATATCCCGCTTCATCCCTGGCCAATAGAAACAGGCCTGCACTCTCTTAAGAGTCATCAAATAGCCTGAGTGGCCGCCCATAACGCCGTCATGTAACTCCTTGAGGATGGTACCCACCAGCTGTGAGGCGCGTGGCACCACCAGCCTGTTGTGGTATAACAATCGCCCTTGCACGAGCTTATACCCCGCAGGCCCAACTCCGCCCCGTTTAAGGGTGTCAACCACGGCCCGAAACTTCTCATCCCCCATAACTTGCGCGTCGAGGTCCCCTAGTAATAAGGAGTATGGAGTAGCCAGGGAGGCGAGGGAAGGAAGTGGTTCCCAGCGGGACAAGGCGTCCGCGGCCTTGTTGTCCAAACCCGGCTTATAGTGAATATCAAAATCATATCCCATGAGTTTGGTGAGCCACTTCTGATACTCGGCGCTAACCTCCCGCTGTTCTAGCAAGTATTTAAGGCTCCGTTGGTCGGTGCGGATGACAAAGCGGCGGCCTAGAAGGTAGTGGCGCCACCTGCGGATGGCCATCACAATAGCCATCAATTCTCACTCGTATGCGGATTTCAAACGCGCGCGAGAGGAGAGGGTCTGGTTGAAGTAGGCGAGGGGGCGGTTGTTTTTGCATCAACGCCGCCCCAAGGCCATGGCCGGACGCATCCGCCTCCACAACAAAAAGTTGAGTAAGGTCGGGCAAGGCCAAGACTGGCACCGTTGTCATGGCCTGCTTGAGGCGGAAAAAAGCCTCTGTGGCTACGACATCCCAGTGGAAGCTGTCGCACTTAAGTAGCTGAGTGAGCGGCCAAGCCAGTGTGCCATAACCGGCCACGAACCGGCGGTAGTAACCCGTAAGCCCGAGGAACCCTCGCAGCTCCCGCAGCGTAGTTGGCGTTGGCCAATGGAGCATGGCCGAGATTTTAGCTTCATCCGCTACGCCCCCGTCTGCAGAGATGATATGACCAAGGTACTCCAATTGGGATTGGCCGAACACACACTTCTTCTCATTAGCGAATAACTGGTGTGTCCCCAAAATGTCTAGTACCCTTCGCAAATGAATGACGTGATCGTCCATGTTCCGACTGTACACTAAAATGTCATCGAAAAAAACGAGTACAAACTGCCGCAGATGCTCCTTGAAAATCTCGTTCATGAGAGCCTGAAAGGTTGCCGGGGCATTGGTAAGCCCGAAAGGCATCACCAAGAATTCATAGTGGCCGTCGGGGGTTCGGAAAGCAGTCTTAGGAACGTCCTCTTTCCTAACACAGATTTGATGATATCCCGACTTGAGGTCGAGTTTTGAGAAAACCGTGGCCCCCTAAAGCTTGTCCAATAATTCATCGATCATCGAAATCGGAAATTTGTCCGGCACCGTCGCTTTATTCAACGCGTGATAATCCACGCAAAACCTCCAACTACCGTCATTTTTCTTAACTAGCAGAACGGGGCTCGAATAAGGGCTAATACTTGGCTGAATTATCCCTGCTGCCAACATGTCCCTCACCAATTGCTCAATCTCGGTCTTTTGAATCTACAGATACCTGTAGGGGCGCACGTTTAGTGGTGCAATGCCCGGTTGGAGCGTGATAGCGTGATCTTGTCCGCGACTTGGTGGTAGCCCCTGTGGCCACTCAAAGATACGCCGGTACTGTTGCACTACCTCCACCAGGGGCTGTGGAATAACCGCCTGCTTTTCCCCATCTGCCACGGAGATGCTTCCCAATTCCAGCAACACCCATTCATCCTGCTCACGGAAGGCCTTGACCATGGCCTTAAGTGATGCTCTAGAGTGGCATAAACTGGGATCCCCTTGAAAACTTCATCGTCAACGTCTTCCAATTCACTTGCATTCCACCCAGGGATTCAAGCCACTGCATGCCCAAAATGACATCTGCACTGCCTAGTTCCAAGGGCAGGAAATCTTCAATGATCTCAATGTTTTGGAGGGTGAGCACAACCCCTTTACACATCCCTTCGCCTTTTATGGTCATTCCCGTGCCCATCAACACCCCATAGCAGTTAGTTCCCACCTTCGGGATCCCCAGTTTTTCAACCAACGCCACCAAAATGAAGTTATGTGTGGCCCCACAATCGACCACCACCACCACCTCTTGCTGGCCAACTCGTCCATTAACCTTCATGGTTTTAGGGGTGGTAAGGCCAACTACCGAATTAATGGACAGTTCCACTGTCTCGCGAACCTCCTCCGCGCTGCCTTCCTGCCCTTCCCTCTCTGCCTCATCGCACTCACCTATTTCTATCTCATCATTAATCATTAAAATGTGGAGTTCCTTGTTTTTGCACCGGTGGCCAAATGAGTATTTCTCATCGCAGCGAAAACAAAGCCCCTTATCCCTCTTAGCTTGCCATTCTGCATCAGTCATCTTCTTAAATGGAAGAGGGGAAGTGGACGGGTTACCTGGTGGACGTGGCCCCTGCACCTGGGCCTTTGGGATTGAAGGGAGCTGTCCGGTCGGGCTCGCAGAGGGGCCCCCACTCGACGTCCGGCCCCACGGCCCCGTGGGCGCTGATCTGTTCGGTCGGATCAGGCTGTTCCGGTCTTCGACCCGTTGAGCGTACTCCATGATCCTGGTCAACCTGCTGGGATTAGCTAATCGGACCTCCGCCCGAACTTCCGGTTTCAGCCCATTGATAAAAGTGCTCTCCATCACCTTTTCCGAAACTTCACTCAGTGGATAAGCCAAGAGTTCAAACCGCCGACGATACTCCCGCACCAACCCCTCCTGGCGGAGAGCCAAAATTTTTTCGCAAATGGACCCCTCCTAGGTCAAACGAAAACGATCCAGCACGTGAGTCCTCAGTTCCAGCCAGCTGCGAATAGGTCCCTGTCCATCCGCCCATTGAAACCATGCTAACGCCTCCCCTTCCATGCATACCGCCGCCGCCTGTAGCTTCTCGGGCTCCGTCAACCGGTTGACTGCGAAGTAGTGCTCAGCACGGAACAGCCACCCCTCTGGATTTTCCCCGTCGAACATGGGCATCTCCAACCGACATGTGCGCGGTTCACCCCGTTCCCAATCTGGACGCTCAATCCCGGTAGGTCCACTAAGCCGTCGTTCACCCCGCTCCCAATCTGGACGCTCAATCCCGGTAGGTCCACTAAGCCGTCGTTCACCCCGCTCCCAATCTGGACGCTCAATCCCGGTGGGTCCGCTGGGTCATCCCTCCTTCCCCGCGGCGAAGGCCGTCCCCTGGTTCGAGGATTCTGGATTGAGCAATTTTCCCTTATTTCCCCCAATTGCTCCCGTTCGGG